AAAAAAAAAAAAAAAAAAGAAAGCTTCCGTAGGTTGGATCTAATCCCACGATTTTGAATGGTCGACTAAAAATACTTGCACGTGTAACAACAAAATTTCGTCAGATGGTGACATCGTGTCGAACCGATGGAATCCGATCGCGCAATACCGGCCTTCCTTCACCCACATCTGGGCATCGCGTGCTCGTTTTCGATCCGCGATATCATAACGCGGACTTTCTCCGCTGTTCACGGACACTTTCGATTTTAGAGACCGAAGAATGATACTCATCGGGTGCATGATTTTATATAGTATGATCGTTTATCAAGAAATAATTACTCGTGCAATCTTATTTGAAACAATTCGTGAATTTAACTTCCACCATGACGATTTAGACTTAAATTTCTTATTATAATTTGATTGGAATTTATGATTAACTTCTATCATAGATGTACGTGAAATAAAATCAAATAATCAGAACAGAATCAGAGCAGTTTGCAAAATTAATTTTATAAATCCTCTAATTTATATGAGGAAATTTATATTTCAAAGATTATAGCTTGCAGGAAGAAATTTCGGTTTCGAAAGCTTCTTTTTTAGTCAGTCTAGTTTTACAAAATGTATCTACTCTAATGTATGTATCTACGTTAAGAAGTTTGTATTTCAAATTTCTCGCAATTTGCAGAAAGAAATTTAACTAAGTTTCTCACGTCAAGAAATAATTCAAGCTTCAAGGCACTTTTACTGCTACACTTGCAGTGAAAAGTTTAAGTTTCAAAGCTTCCTGAAGGATCCAAAATTCCCATTTTAGTTTCAAAGTTAAAAATTCAACGAAAAATTCTCTGTGCTATCTTTCTGTTCTTCATTCTAGTTCTTCAGTCTACGTGTACTTCCAAAAATCTTGCTTCGTATTTTATTTCTTAAAATTTCTAATTAATTGTATATACACGTACCTATATATTTTATATTTAATTATTAATACGAAAACTATGTACAAATAATCGCAAACATGTAGCTTAAACAAATAAATACACGATGAGAAACTTTGAAAAAAAACTTCGCTTCCGTTCTAATTAAAAGCAAGCAAACAAATACAAAAGTTGGAGGATTTAACTAGCCCATTAAAACTCTTTGCTGAAACGTTAATAAAGTTCTTGAGCGAACGTTTCCCTTAAAAATTGACCAAACCACAGAATTACCACCGTCGAACGTCGTGAGAGTCTGCCGCTTTCGCGAGAGAATCTGAAAAATTACTTCCTATGGAATAGCATTTAGCCGGCCGAGGGAGAGACAGGGTTGAACAACAAAGGGAAACGATCTTCCAGTTCTTCGCCGGGCGTTAACGAGCCGACGATCGCGTGCAACGAAACTAGCTTCTTCCTGGAAAAACGAAGGACGCGGAAGTGAAGGGTTAAAAAACGACAAGAAGGAGA